CTCCCTGGTTGTTCTAACACAGTACTAGATCTACCCAGCTAGAGCTCTTGAGCTGGCCGAGCTCGATACACTCTTCGTTTGCGGAGCAGCTACCTACCACCGAGCGCTATGCCCTCCCTGCACCGCGTTTGTTTTGTCACCCGTAGACTTCATCTTTGCTTGGCGTCAAAACTAAATTGATACCGGCTTCAGTATGCGATATAGCAGCGTTGTGGGGTATGTGATGTGGGCGTCGTGGCTTCTGGGTCCGTGTTGTACATTGTGTCAAGAGTAGAGCGATACCGGCTTCAGTGCGCGAGATAGAGGTGTCGATAGCTATACAAGGTCAATATGGAGATTGTGGGGTCGGTGTTGCACATGGTATCAAAAGCAGATTGATACCGGCTTCAGCACGCGATATAGCGGCGTTCATCAGCATATGAGGTAGGCATCCAGACTTCTGAGGCGGTGTTGCAGTGCATGGTATCAGACCGCTTAAGGCACTAGCGGTCGGATTGACTTCAATTGAATTAGTATCCAGGAGCGCTTCAACCTGCAACAATATGGAGATTGAGACGCCTTTAAGCTTCTTTGAGCCCTCCAGCCAATGCGATGTAGACTGTGTATGCAGTCGTGAATGTGCACGGTATCGGCCAAGGGAACGAGTATCCTATTGGTGAGGTAGCTCACCGAGAAACGAGAAAAGATGAAGGTCTAGCGCTTTGCATGCCATACGGCCGATAGAACTCTGATTTTTGTGGGCAGTTGCCCTCGCCGCCCGGTGTTTGTTGTCCGCCACGCCTGTTATCGTATGATACGACAACAGCGTCTCCTCGTTATCTCACTGAATCACGCGTAACGAGACAAGTGATGATGCAATCACGGCCGGCGCTTTTACCTAGTACCCGAACCTGAGCTTCGCTCCCGAGAAGAAGTACCTGCGATATAAAAGCTCTCTTCCTCGATCCTTTCCCCATTATTGCTCCCAACAAGTCTTCATCAACATCATTGTCCTGACACACTACCGGAATCTACACAATGCGCTTCACTCTCCTTGTCACTCTCCTCGCGGCTTTGGCCCTCGGCAATCCCCTCGGCGTCCGCGATGATGTCGACGCCAGCCCATTACTTGACCCTGGAGAGTTCCCCGACTCTGCCAATCTCACCGTTGTCTACAATGGTGCCGTTACTGGTGACACTAACGACGGCGGTTCAACATGTGGTCAGGGTATGCTCCGTGGCGACACCGAAATCATCGACTTTTCACGCGACATGTGGGCCTGCAACGCTCAGCAGACGACAATCGATAGTTACAACGTCAACCGAGACTGTCTTTGCTTCTTCTACACCTACACGTAAGCGTTCAGTTTGAGATTAACGATCCATGAGGAGGTAGATGGAGTACTAACTTGTGCCTAGCAACCCTCCATGCCAGGACCGACCTTCCTACGCGTTCGGACCTAAGGCTGCGTATGTCCCGAATCAACGTATTTGGGCTTACACCTGTCGCCCTAAGAAGTAAGCTCAGGTATGGAGGCAGGATATGAGATATGATGCGCGGCAGGCATTTGCCACTGATATTGGGGTGGTACAATACGGTATCTTATGCGCTGTGCCGGATGGTTCGGAATTATGGTAACATTGCTCGGGTTTCCGGACATCAAACTGGTACTCATTGTGCCAATTGAGTCGTCCCCGTAGCATAACTAGAAATGAAATGGTAATAGATCGTTATCATGAGACTGCTCGATGACCTGCGTGAATATTCACGGTGTCTATAATCTGTACTTCTCTCCCTGTGAGATATGACATGAAAAGCTGTATTAACAGGACTCTTGTATATATAGCTATGTCTCCATCCCATGATCATTGATCACCGAGAAAGCAAATCGCATCCTTCGTGTCTCCTTCCCAGCCAATCACGTCGCATCTGAAATTGATGAGAGCGACAATACCTGCTTTGGTCACCTCAAAGCTGAGCTAGTTGCTCTGTAAGCCTATCAACGGCGGATTGCTCGCCGCCTGTCTGATTGGCAATTTCGGTAACTTCATCATCCTCGAAATCGAATTCGTCGTGTTCATCGAAGTCGAGATTCCAGCGCGAGACATAGCGAACCGGGTGGTAGTTGAGACAAGTCTTTCGACAAATGCATGATGGCGGCCTACTCATCATTAGCTAGGTACTTGGATTTGAGAGTGATTCGTCGAGTCTCTTACAGCAAGTGGATTGGAGTCTCAAAAATGGCATCAATCTCGGCAGCCTCGTCGTAGTCCGAAAGCGACTTGTTACATGCGAGATGCAATGTACGTTGCCAGTGCTCTCTCTGGGGCTTCTTGATGAATCCAATTAACTTGACGTTGTAGATATGCTTGATGTGGGGAAATGCTAGCTTCAAGATCCAGTCGACTAATGTAGTCTGGCAGGAGGTTCGCCGTGAGGACGCCCAGGGGTCGCCGCGATAACCATCTCCGGGAGATCGGAAGAAGATCTCGAGATCAGTAAGCTCCGACAGACTCGAGAGATAGCGAGCCAGAGACTGCGTGGCATCCTGCTGGAAGATCGGGTGGATCTCGATACCTAAGAATCTAAACCACGAATCATTGGTAAAGTCGAGCCGAATCTTCCCTAAGAAGTTGAATCGTACTGCGAGCCCCGTCTTGGAGTCCGCCACAGCTGTGAATATCTGATGGCATAAGAAGCACTTTCGGAGGCCTTCCCAGCCAGCCTTCAGAACTCCCTCCTGAACATCCTTGCTGACAAGCTGTAAAGCAGTACATGGGGCAGAAATGTTCGATCGATCTGGGATTGCATATTCATAGCCTCCATATATCATTTCGGTGATTCGACCATACTCGAGCATCTCGCGCTTCAATCCAATGCCCATCGAAATTGGAGCTTGCTGTTTGGACTCCAAGTCGTCGGAGTAATAGTAACCTTCGCGCCAGATCGTAGGAAGTGGATAAAGCTCACCTCCCAGTGCGTATTCGAAGATGATAAGGCGAATCTCTGACGGCAATTCCATGAGAGGAAACGTCTTACCGTTGCGCTGCCACCACTTTAATGACACCATCATTGGACTACGTTTCTTCAAGATGGTAGGATCGGGGAGCAGAAGTAACCACTCTTTTATCGGAATCCACTTGTTGCCGAATTTGGCGATGAGTTTGTCCGCAGTCAGGGGCTGGCTCCAGTCACTAGTGTGTCCTGAAATCTCGACTGTTGCCGGAAATTGTTGCCAATCTTGCTTGAACGTATAGCACTTTGAGAAGTTGCCTGGGCCGGCTCGACTTGGGGGCCAGAAAGGTAAGTGGCTCGTTGTCGGCGTGACACGGATGTTGGTATTACTGACGAGAATACCGTGGCGCTGATCCTGGCAAAGCTCGCGGATAGCCTTGATGAGAAGCGGCATAATTGGATCGCGTTGTCGTGGAGGATCCACAAACTCATATTTGTACCCCTTGTGGCGCCATGTTGACTTTTCAGTATGTTCGGGTTGGAAGGACAGTGTCCGCAAGCGCGCCTGAGATACAAGGACCTCAGGGTTTTTACTTCGACCATGCACACTGTATCGAACTTGGGCTGCAGCTCTCAAACACTCGATGTCTATTCCCACTACTCCTGGCTTCACCATGACGATGACCTGTTGCTCCGCATTAGAGGCAGTGGCAATTAAAAGTCCTTACACGGGCAGTCCACATACCGAATCTTGGTTCTTGTAAACTTGATATAGCAAGTGTTTGGTTGGCTTAGAGAAGGCGTGTCTCTCGTTTCTAAAGTTAAAGAATGATCAGAAGGCAGGAATGCGCGCGGGGTCTTTATACACATACTTTCCCGTTTCGAGAGCACTTAAATCACGAACTGTATGCTTGCGCTGAGAAAAGTCGGCGCCTCGTGATTTTGAGTAAAAAAATGAATGTTACAAGAAGGTTAGTGATAAGCCTCAACCATTGCCCGTAGCGGTGATCTCGAACAAGATGCGAGACACGAGAGGCTCATATACTCGAACATCCACAGACCAACTGTCAACTTCGATCGAGTCTTTCTATAAGCAAATAAAGGACCAGACTCAGGCTGCCACACTACCTCGTTTGCGTTCAATGCCTAGGCATGATTGGAGTCTTCTTGAGACTTGGAGTCTACTTAGAGGCGGGTGCTACGACGTCAGGAACTATGGGTGATTCAAGCAAGCAGAGAGCAGATTGACTTGAATGCAAACGGGGACATTGTGTACATAAACGGCAGTTTAATCGTGACCCTAGGTTTAGACTTCCCTCAAGGAGCTTCAAACGAATTAGTGGAAGCGTATGATTCGAAGTTGGAGAGTACTGAATATTTTCATAGTAGCGTGGTGTATATTGTGGCTTTGGAGTTGCACTGTACGGCGTACTCAACTTTTCATTAGTCAATGTGTTGCAATCTAGGCCTTGGACGGCGGGCATACTCAGGGTCTGAGATATTGACTGGTACAGAGGTCTCGTCGACACTTCACATCACGCACTTGACATGTGAGCTCATGAGTCGCACCAAAGCACTTTATGGCCCCAGAACGAGATCACGGCAGCTGTTACAATAGTATGGGTACGGCAATAAAACAGGCTCCCCTGGGACGTACTACTAAGCCACTGAGGCGCAATATCTTAGTTGCTCATTCACTGTACCGACCCTCACCAAGAACGGCCCAAGTCTCCTCTCTAGAGCCTAATTAGCGTCGATCATCTCCGCCAGCAGTACTGCACCGCCTCAGTGCAGTGGCTGTTGATAGCTGCAACCAGCGCGCTGTATTCGTCGGTGACGTCACTCTGAAGCTCACGCGCGCCTTCCACAACAACAATGAGTCATAATCAGCTCACCGCTATCACCAATCACGCGTTTCTTCCAGCTTCTGTCGCGTTCTCTTCCTCGCGGGCAACCCTAGCGCAATCACCTGGACTGTTAGCGCGCCCGTCGCACGGGCCTCCCACAAAGTGCATAAATAACGTCGCCCGCCCCTCACTCTGCCTTTCTTCTTCACACGCAACGTGACTTGGTGGTGTAATGGTTAACACATCAGCTACGCTGGTCGCGCTCATTCCTTCTGGTTGTAAGGCTGAAGAGTTTCAGGTTCGATTCCTGGCCGATCACGGTTGCAATTCTTCTCTCTTTTCGCCTACTGGCTCTTTTTCTCTCTTTGCTCGGCCGCCGGCGTCTTGTACCAATCGTTTCTTGTTCCTGGTTGGGCCAGTGCACGGTGGAGATTGGATTCTATCCTCTCCGGTAGCGACCACGCCGGTCGACTACTCAACAAGCACGCGGCTGCACTCCCTCTGGGCCTTCAGACTGAGCGTTAGTACGAGGATGTGGCTGGAACCTCACACCTGCTGGGCAGGTAGATGCGATCGGCCGGCGAGCTGTGACCTGTGAGCCCCTGTACACGCCATCCTTACCCCAGATCTTCTGCAGCGCCTCTTAACAATGCGGAACTTGCGTTTATCTCCGTCTTCTGGTCTTTTGATGCTGGTCGCGGAACGCGCTTCTCTGGAGGGGTGTCTCATTGCGAGGGTGGTTCCAAGCTTTGAGATGCTACAATGAGTGGAACAGCTTGGGCGTTGCAAGGCCGGTTGGCAAGTGGGCATCGAAGGCGACGGCGCCTGGACTTGGTGGTGTGGAGGTCTATGGATTATCTTTGCTGAGGATCGCCTCTGGTTTGGTTCTTCTTCTTTTTACTACTCTCCTCCTCGACATGGGTTCCGACCGACGTACCCCATTTTCTTTTCCATTGACTCATCCGCTTGCCGGATGGTTAAGGGTGAAGACCTTTGCTATTCCTTCGAGTGCTCTTGTTCACGCTGGTTGGCACCAGAGCGAGGAAGGCGCCGAAGGAGCGAGTGCGGTCGGAAGAAGCAACAATTATTATATTATCGCACGAAGGGCAGCTTGAATGGCGAACGGTTTTTACCTGCAGCAGTCTACTCCAGCTTCGGCAGTTTGAACCCACCCGGCACATTCCTCTGAAAAAACGCTGTAGGATCGTACTTGTGACTTACCTCCCACAATTTCGCAACGCTCTTTGCCCCATACGACTGCATAACCTTCTGACTCTCATCGGCGTAGTTGAGAAAGTTCCATCGCACAAGCTTGCCCTCAACCTTAGCCAGATTCTCAACCTTCTCCAGACACCTGGAGGATACCTTACGCATGAGCTGGTCATCGGCCGCGTCTGCCCAAGGTAGGAGTGAAGTCTAGTAGAACAAACGGACCGTCTGAAGGAGAAAGACCCATCGCATTCAATCCTCCTCGCGTCGAATTGACAAGAAATGTGGTAGTGATAGGCTGGAGAATATAAGAGAACAGCAGGCCGGCCGTACCTTTCACCGACTCGATAGCTTCGTCCACAAGAGCTTGGATCTTTAGAAGGATTTGCTTGTCTGCCTTCACAGATACGGTGAAATATAGTACGCGAGAATTGTCGGACGTGCCTTGGCCTTGCTCTTCCGCAAAGCTTAGCAAGGTGTCGGTTCGAAGAGTCGATTGGATCTTAGGTTCAATGGCTACGAATGCTTCAAGAGATGTGGAATGGTTGTTGCTCGTATCTGGTGCCGTATCGAACAGACTAGAAGCGCTCAGGGTGTTTCCGAACATACTAGAGAAACCGTAGGTGACCAAGATGTTGACATTCTGATCTGGGTTTGGTTGCTTCGCAAAGTCGACAAGAGCAGTAATGAGTTCTGGCATGGAGCTCTGCGGATGGATCGTCATACCGCCCCACATAGCCCCTTGTGCGAAAGCGGGAAGGACTATGCGAGTTAGAATACCAAAATTGTTGCTGCCGCCTTTGAGAGCCGAGAATAGGTCAGGGTGCGAGGTTCTGGATGACTTAACAATACAGCCGTCAGCAAGGACAACTTCGAATGCCATGACAGCATCACATGAAAAGCCGTAGCGACCGGCGAAGAACGAGAGACCTCCTACAGTGTCCGTCAGTGCCCGTACCGTAACGACATCAATTGGACATTGCTACGCATACCACCTAGTATAAACCCAGTCACACCAACCCTCGGCACACGCGCACCAACAGTGGCTAGTCCTTTTCCCTCCAGTATCTTGATAACACTTTCCCATTTCTCCCCGCTACCAACCGATACAGTCTCCTCATCTTCACCCAAGTTCACGCCTGTCACATTTCGCATATCAACTAGAACCCCTCCGGCGCCAATGCTGGCAGCTCCAGCCCATGGAATATGTCCACCTCCTTTGATTGCGATTTTGAGGTCCAATAAGCGCGCTTCGCGAACGATGATCGAGACATCCTGGGCGCAGGAGGGTCGAACGACTAAGGCTGGAGCGAGAGAGCTTGCAAAGACGGTGAAATACGGTTTGGTGGTTTCTTTACTCTGGACTTCCGGCGAGGAATATTTTACCTGGCAAGGCATGGATCAGTGCGATGTGAGCCATGTTAAAAGAGAATACACCGTGAAATCGAATTGAACAGATGTATCAGAGGTGAAGAAAGTGCACAAGTTAATGTTTAAATAGGTTTTTCTGTTCCATGAGGGGCACCGTAGGATGCGGTGCTGCACGGCGCGGACCTGTGCCGCTATTTCTCAATCAACTTCAGTTGGTAATCGACAATAAAAAGGTCCGTCAAAGTTGAAACTATTGGTTTCCGCGATTTCTCCTGCAGATCTTGCTTCGATGTTTCACGGAACTGCTGATTGCGTTGGGGCACTAGCTGGGAAGCCGCGATGCTCATTGGAGATGGCAATCGCTTTCATATTGCGGCGCAGTTCTCTCCAATGTAAGCCTACATGATGCCATTGTGTTGGAAGTTCCTGACAATTGAATCAATACCTGAGGTGCACACTGGTCGTCAACGCTGGTCATCGATGATACTACTACATATAGACCGCGTGATGAGCAGTTCTGGGTACTGAAGTCCTTCTCAAAATTCTCTGCGCAGTGACGGATGTATCACTTTGGGGGCTGTATTAGAGGTATCTCACTAGTCCAAACGTACACCAGCAATATTGCGGATCAGTAGCTGTGCCTCCTAAGCACATGTGGTTAAGTGTGATTCGCCCAACGCTACTCGTTCGACTGAATATAGACAACGTGAAGCATATCAGATAAGCGCTGAGCGAACATCCGCCCCATCTTGTTCGTTGGCAGCAAGAACGATCTTCGGATCGCAATCTGGAGCTGATATGCTGTCGAATTTCCTTGCACCATCGTGTTCCTCGCTCGATTCCTTTCGTCTCCGCAGCCTTATGTTACGACGCCTCTCTGTCCGATGCGATGTTGTCGTCTTCAAGATACGATTTGTCGAAGATCCCTCTCATCCCAAACCCCAATGGCTCGCCGCCAAACTTCGTTGATCCTCCTACTCTTGCGCCGGTACTTCGTGGCGTAATATGCACCATGATCTCAGTATCTGCAAACTTCGTCGTCATTCGCTTTATCGCAAGTCATCGTCAGCACAAAAGACCTCAAATGGACGACTACTTCGGTCTTATGGCATGGCTCTTAGCTACCGTATGTGGCATCAGCGCCATGTTATCGCTAAAGACTGATCGCCATGCTTGGGATGTGCCTGTAAGCTTCATAGACGAGTTTTGGCTCAAGAACGCGACTGTAAACTGTCTCCTCGTCGGTCCGGCCTTGTGGTTCGCGAAAGCGGCTATTGCGCTAGTGTACATGCGGCTTTTTGGCATTCACCAGTGGTTGCGGGTTGCATGCTGGATTCTCATCATTTTGTCAGCACCGGTGTATTGGCATACTGTGCCGCTGTGTGGCGTGTATATGTTTCCTCATGGTAATGAGAGTTGGGATCTTTCGCTCGCAAAGAAGGGCACGAAGATGGGCGTTCCGTCCGCCATTGTTGGATCTTTGAATGTCGCATTGGACCTCTGCTTGCTGCTGTTACCTCAGCCAATTATTTGGAGAATGTCTTTGAGTCTGAGAAAGAGGGCTGGTGTTGCGGGAGTGTTCATGACGGCTGGTCTGTGAGTGAGCACACTTGCTTTAGTATGATGTGGTGGAGCTGATCAAAAGCAGTGGACTTAGCATGTCGACTTTATCCCTGTATTACAGGATTCTACTGCTGCGAAGCACAACAGACTTCACCGACACAACATGGTACTCCACCGCATGTTATCTCACGGTGTGAGTCCTCTTTCTCCCTATCGGCTCTCTGCACGCTCCGCTAACAATACGTAGCAGCGTGGAGATGTTCATCACCATCATTGTGAGCTGTGTTCCTGCCTGTGCATTCTGTTGGAATACTTTCGTCCGCGATACGGCCCTTTTGGCAAGGCTTCGTTACCTTATGCGGATTTCACGACTAGAAAAGCCGACATCAACGTTCGAACCAGAGCGCAAACCTGGGGAAGTGTTCGTCATTCACTCAGACCACCGTAACTCATACGACCTGTCTCTGAGTGATGGGAAGGAGAAGGTTGAAGGTCCTGATCATTGAATTCTCCAAACGAAATCGTTCTGTCAGAAACCAAAATACCTGCTTAATTGCTCATAGCCCACTCAAATTATAAGCCAACAGATTCGCCGTCCCGCTCGGAATCCCACTCAGAGCGTTTTTCGTCGCAACCTCTCTCATCCTGTCACACAAAGCAACAGCACCCCTCGGCCCCTCAATCGCTAAAAAGTAAGCTCCCAGTCCAGCAACATGCGCAGCGGCCATACTCGTCCCACTCAAAGTCTGTACCGCAGTATCGCTAGTATACCACAAGCTCGGTATCAACTGCCCCGGTGCAAAGATATCGATACCAGGTCCGTAGTTGGATGTCGACATGCGGGCATCGTCGATAGTTGTACCGCCTACTGTACACGCTGTTGGCTCGGATCCAGGCGAGGAGTTGCTGGATCCGGTGTTCTCGTTGCCAGCGGCTACGGCGAACATGACGCCTGCGTTTGATGCAGCAGCGACGGCGTTGTTGAGAGCGGCACTGAAACCGCCGCCGATGGTGAGGAGGGCGGTTGCTTTCTGGAGGCGGCCTCGGGTTTGGATGTCTTGGACTGTCCAATTGATGCCTGATATGATTTGGCTTGCTAAGAATGATAGTATAAGCTTGGTGACAACCATGCGAGGCAATGTTAAGGACTCATACTGGTGCTACTTCCTGTGTCA